GTAAACATGATTTCTTTTTTCTTTTTTTTTCTTTTTTATGGTGCTTTCTATGCGAGTGGCCTACAAATGACTAAAGCTTCTCTGCACGTAGAAATGTTTTCCCTCATAACCTGATTATATCTGTGCACCTAAAGCACAGTCACCAATACGTAAAAGCACAAGGGCATTCAGGATGTAAGGCAGTAAGGCAGTAAGGATGGTAATGTTGGGATAAGTTGGAAGGGCACCGTTCTGCCTCTTGATCCACAATACCTGTTAGTTCTGTGTGAACTGGCCACATGCATGGGTTGTGGAAGACAAAATTAATTTGCAGCCTTCCCCTGTATAAGCCAGAGAACTGGAACTAAAATAAAGCTAGCATGATGCTGATGCTTCTGCGTGTCATTGAATCCCAGCCTAGTTTCTGTTGGAAGGGACCTTAAAGCTCACCCAGTTCCAACCCCTGCCATGGGCAGGGACCCCTTCCACTCGAGCAGCTTGCTCCAAGCCCCTGTATCCAACCTGGCCTTGAACACTGCCAGGGATGGGGCAGCCACAGCTTCTCTGGGTACCCTGTGCCAGCGCCTCAGCACCCTCACAGGGAAGAGCTTCTGCCTAAGAGCTCATCTCAGTCTCCCCTTGGGCAGGTTCAAGCCATTCCCCTTGTCCTGTCCCTACAGGCCCTTGTCCAAAGCCCCTCTCCAGGTTTCTTTTAGACCCATCATAAACCAACAACGTGAAACAGCTCACCAAATCTGACAGATCCCACTTGGGCTCTTTTTTTGTTGTAATTCATTAAAAAAGGAAAAGAATAACATCAACAGTATCACTACACATAACATCACTACACCAATTTTCTACCTCCTGTTACTGAAGACTGCACAGCACAGACTTAGGACTTCAATGAGACATTCACATTTCTTTAAAAAAGCTCAAAAGAAATGGAAAGAATGACGAGAGCCAAAAGCTTTCAACCATATTTGAAGGAGAGAGCTCAGCAAAACAAAGCAGTCCCGGAGAGAAAGGCAGACCAGCATTTGTATGAGGGATTATCAGGCATACATGTTGAATCTGTAGGAGGATGAGGGTAAACACACAGCAAGGAATCAAGATTAGCATTATGAAACTGAGTGAGAATTAAAAACTAGCAGTAAGAGAATAACTGATTCTGAAGATTCCAGGAATATCCACCACAAAGGCTTTTATTTTCTCCTCCTGTTTTTCTTCTTCTCTCTTTAGAACAGCAGCTCTTGATTTGTGCTGGAGGCAGATACATGGCCTCCAAGAATGAGCAAGGTTATTATATTTACTTGAAAGAAGAGCTCAGATAAAGAGCAGCTGTTGTGATGCCTACCAGTGATGCAGTGGTTCAGAGTGATGCTTCCATCCTAGCTCTCCAAGTTTGCAGAGCAACTTAGAAACTAGCTTTCAATTATATAAATGGAAACCAGGTAAAATTCCCATTATCACAAGTTCATATTCACAGATGTGACTTCATTTTTGTATGTTCTTAGTCACAGGGAGATCAATCTTTTGAGTGACACAGGCATAAACTTCACAGTACGTGACAATACTATGGGTGTGTAATAGACTCATCGCACCCAACAAACAAAATCTGATTAACCTTTGCACCAGCCAGTCCCCTCTAAACATCTCTGCTCATCATGGTTATAGAATCATAGAATGGTTTGGGCTGGAAGGGACCCTAAAGCTCATTCAGTTCCAACCCCTTACCATGGGCAGGGACACCTTCCACTGGAGCAGCTTGCTCCAAGCCCCTGTGTCCAACCTGGCCTTGAACACTGCCAGGGATGGGGCAGCCACAGCTTCTCTGGGCACCCTGTGCCAGCGCCTCAGCACCCTCACAGGGAAGAGCTTCTCCTCTATCTCCAACTTGAACTTCCTCTGTTTCAGTTTAAACCTCCCACCCCTTGTCCTATCACTATAGTTCCTGATGAAGCATCGCTCTCCTCTTATGAAATCTCCACAGCTAGTCCAGCAGGAGATATTCCAAGCCCAGCGAGTAAAGTCCAGTGGTGGGTATAAAATGACCACTGGAATCAGGGTACCTTTTGAGCCTGGCTGGTCAAAGGTACTTGAAGTACCAGGGTGGCCTACAGAAGCTGGCCTGCTAGTTCACCCTGGAGCTGACTGAGCAGCATGCAAAAGAGGGTACTCACCAAGTTACAGTCAAAGGGAGTCATATGGCCAATGCACTGGGGAGTCTGTGCATACATACCCTATGTGTGCTGCATAAAACACTGGGAAACCTTCTGTACTTTGCCAAGCTGAAGGAGCAGGTCCAGGCATGTCTTGAATGCAGATTTTAATTTTCTTCTACAGTGATATTACAAAACAGTCTCTTCTGCACTTACCTCTCTGATAACATTGTCACATACCCTAATGCTACCACAGAGTTTTTTAAATGTCTAGTCCCTAGAAGACACTGAGATGCACTGATACTAACCCTGCGCCTGAACACTGCCCCACTGAAATATCTAGTTAAGGAAAGAGAGGGATAATGTGTTTGTAATAGCCTTGGGTTCATCATGCTTTTGGAAGTGCTATTTAAGGACACTGACAATGATTATTTGTTTATGAACGACTTTTTAAGTGGTCCACAGTACCTGACCAACAGCTGATAGACCTTAGAAAGCACCTCCAGATGCTGGGAAATGAAGAAGAAATACTGATGATGCAAGTAAGTTGGTGCAAGCGTATGGAGGTCAGGACGTGCAATGCTGCTGGCCTCTGAAATGCAACAGCCGTCCTGTACTGCCTCCTCCTCTGCCCCATCCCTCAGCCCCTGTGCTTCAGGGGACATTTAGGAAGTTCTCCCTGCAAATCTTAGAGTAGAAAGAGAGGAAGAAAAAAGATCCCCTGAACCTCACAAGTGATTAATCATCCACTGCAAAAATTCTTTCCAATTCAGCCTTCTACCGTGGCTTTAATGTCCAGCTACTGCCTTTTCCTCCGCTCCTTTGCCTGGCTGCCAGGCTATCTGCACACATAGGTGACTGTATAACCTGCCAGCCACAGCCACCACACATGGCCAACAGTATCCTTTCACACCAAGTGAGTGCTGAAAGGGGACAAAGACCTCCACAGCACCTCAGGTGAATCCTTGCTTTGATTCGAGGAGGGCTTGGATCATGCAGCAATAATGAATTTCATTCTGCTTTTAATAAAGACCCTTCTTTTCTGAAGCTTCCACCCTCTCCCCCCCACTGCTTACTTAAACAGGGGAGCCCAAGATGAAGGTCTGGCAGTGCAGCAGAGCTCTGCAGTAGACAATGTACTCTAGAACCTGGGCTGAAGTTATCAAACTCACTCACTTGTGGCCTCAACCAGTTCTGCACCAGGCTCTTCACTAACGGGAAGCTTTCATTAGCAGCAACCTGTCCCTAAAGCTGACATTTTAAATTCCTCTAAGTCTTGACAGCAAGTTTGGTGCAAATAAAGATGCTCTCCGGGTTAAGTGGACATCCACACACCTGGAAGTTAAATTTGTCTTCCCAGCAGGGAGTATTTTTCAGCAAGAGCAACATCAGTGTATCCCTCATTAACAACTAATTCCAGTGATGCGCAAACTTGTGCTAGAACATCACTTTTAGGTGGCAGAGATTTGTTCAGGGGAAAAAAAACCCAAACCCAGTTCCATGCATTCAACATGAAAAGCGTGATAAAACCCTCTGAAATAAACAGCACAAAACTGAATAAACCTGTCAAAGGAGTAACATTCCAGTCTATCAGAAGATAAAATGCAATACAAACAGATATGAAGTGGGATTAGATCTGTTTAAAAAATACATTATCTGTCTACAAAACCAGAACAGGTTTCAGAAAGCAAAAGAGCCCCCTTAAATAAATTTGAAGGAGAAAGAGTTATTAAATGAACAGTTTTCATATGCAGCAAAACTGTGTGTGAAGAGTAAGAGGCTTTTTCCTCCTCATTTTCCATTAGTATTTTTCAGTCTCCCCACCGTGATTTCCCTGCTCACCTTTCAGACACAGGCTCATTACTGAGGTCTCAATATTGTTATGCGCTCATCTCCCATGAAGGTTCCTTCTTCCAGTGCTTATGTGCTACAGAAAAGCAGGAGCACTTCTCTCAATCTTAAAAAACATTTGAATTTCCTAGTAGTCCTTTTGCCCCTGTATCATCACAACTGCTCTGATGTGTAGTTGAAATAACAGTTGGGTGAGGAAGTCACAGCTAGATAGGAATAATTACGGAGCACATCCCTACAAAAACTTAATCCATCTCCCAACAGAAAACCAACCCTCCTTCTCCTCCCCTTCATATTAACCACAAGGAACTCTGTCGCATCCCAGTAAGTCATTCTGTGCCCATCAGGCTAAAGTAGAAGAAACTGCTTCCACAAGCTGACAGGATTCCCTCTCTGTTTGAATTTTCTGGAATGAAATGATGGTCCTAGTCCCAGTGTTACACATGACAAGGCAAGTTTATGACACACAGACCTCCAAGTTCATTCTGATTGAAACTGTGAAACCCTTGGGAAGTTCTGAACCTCCCCAGGAGTGATCTGTGAATGATGCTACTGAGGCTCAATCCTACATCTCGGATTCAAGCAGAAGTTTCTATACAGAGGGCTTATAGAATCAAGTTATCATTTCCCTGCCATCATTTCCTTCAACAGCAGGACTTGACTGTCCAAGTGTAATAATCAGCCCCACCAAATGACATAGCTACCTGAATTAAAAAATGCAAGATCATCTCCATGCATGCTCAGAGAGATTCAGGCTGCAGAGGACCAGCAAGGCTTCCATGGGGCTCTCTAGCCATGCTCAAGCACCCCTGTGGAGACTTAAGCTGTGTTTGGTCCTGCAGATGCACAGACACATATTCACCTCGAGTATTCAACAGGCATGCCGCCTGTATGCTGTAGTTAGACAACTGTCATATTGTCCCATACAAGCCAAACACGAAACAAGAAGTCATGAAGCTGCTCAGACTTGGGAAGTTGGAGCAGTTTTCCTTGTCCTGAGCTGATAATCACCTGTGCTCAAGATGCTGGGCGGGTTTCGCGTGGTCACTTGTTGCCTACCCATTACTGCTAAGAACAAGCAACACGGTTCCCAGGCAGCATGCACGAGGAAAAAAAACAGGGAAAAATAAAAATGTACCTTATAGTGACTATTACAGTTCCATTCTTTCATTTGCAAGAACTCACATTTTAAAGGAGGAAGAAATGAGCATCAAGAGATAAGGAACCATTAATGAGCCCTCTGCCTTGGTTTCAATTACAGTGTAAAATTAATTTAATGCACTTTAAGAACACAAGAGGTAATCGCTCTCTCTTGGTAAGAGGTTGCAATTTGCTCTAATAAAGTGTCAATATAAATATGTTACTCTAAGACAGGGAGAACAAGTCAGTTAATTCAGAAAGAATGGGACAGATTAAAAAAATGCTATCAAGGAAACCAAATGGCAAAACTAATAAATAAAGTGTCTGAATGAAAATGGTATGGCAGAGAGCTGGTAAATCAGGCTTTAATGAGAAACTTATTTTTAAAGAGTGGTTTATGCTAATGATATGCACCCAAGTGACTAATGCTGTGAAAGATGATATTTCTCCAGCAATTCAGAGGAGAGGAGTAGTCCATGTGAGGAGAGATGTTTATGGCTGGAAGTGGTAAGAAATCTGAGATCAATGAGCCAGAAAATACATACACAGACACAAGAGGTTAATAATGCTTCTGGATTAGAAACATGCTGGCAAAACAGGGAAGGGCTACAGAGACTGGACAAACACAGAGCTTTCTGATGGACTGTCACTACAGCAAAGGCTGATGATGAGTCCCTGCAACTGGCCCTTCCCTCTGGGATCAGCCAAGACACTGGATAGGAAGGAAGTAAGTTCAACAGCTGTGCTTACCCAGTGGGTATCTGCTATATCTCCCAGCTCTCCTTTGGAGGATGCACTACTGGTGCCAACACCTACTGCTCTGAAATGCTGATACCCCAACATTTAATAAACTAATACACAAAGATCTGAGAGATCTTTCTGGCAACCACAACAATTCAGTTCGTTTCAACAGAAGCAGTAAGCACAAAACCATGCAGAAAGTGCACCTCTGTGATGGGTGAGAGCAGCTCCTGTGAGAATCTGACCTGAACTGAACAGGGGGTGGTCTGAACAGTCTACTTCTTGCTAAAAGGGGAGGGGAGAAAATCAGAACATCTCCAAAATTCTCTTAAATGAAATAAAATACTTTTAAAATTCCTAATAGATTCATCACAGACTGGTATGGGTTGGAAGGGACCTTAAAGCTCATCCAGATCCAACCCCTGCCACAGACAGGGACCCCTTCCACTGGAGCAGCTTGCTCCAAGCCCCTGTGTCCAACCTGGCCTTGAACACTGCCAGGGATGGGGCAGCCACAGCTCCTCTGGGCACCCTGTGCCAGCGCCTCAGCACCCTCACAGGGAAGAGCTTCTTCCCAGTATCTGGTGTCTACTTTCATTTTCCTGGGTCTTAGAAAGGGAATTGCCTCCCAGCCTGCTGAAGCAGTGGCAGTGAAGCAGCTTTATGCATCTCTCAAGTAATTAAAGCTCTGCAGCTTCTGCCCAGGTGCCATGCAGCAACACCCAAGATGTGTTAAACCCCCAGGAACACGCTGCCTAACACATTTCATTGCCTAATTACTCCCACATTCATGTTTAGTGCCCTTGTTAATCCAGTGCTTCAAGAGAACCACTTGCCTCGTTTAAACACATCTTGATCCCAATCTTCCTGGCACTGGTGTAAATCAAAACTCATCTCACTAATGTTAATGGAGCTTCTGCAAGTGTCAGATGTGTAGGAATGGAAAAATTAGGCCTGTATCCCCAAATGAACATTTAGTCTGGCACTAGCAGTATGTATTTATTTTCTTGCATCAAAACAAAATATGCTTTTTCTCTGGTACCAACTCCAAGCTTTTAAGCTGTCAGTGCTGAGATCAGCCCTGCTTCCAAAAAAGTTGTAGATTTTTTCCCTGACTCCACAGGGGGATCTTTGTGAACAGCTCTGATGATTTCTTCCAAAGCAGACTACAGGTTTGCTCATTCTATCCTCAGAAAGACAGTGATGCAAATAAAGACAAATACAGGGCAATGTCATTACAGATAATCAATGCAATGAGTAGAAGACAGCAACAGGTCATCTAGAACATCCCAGCTAACAGCTTTTGAACAGATCACAATGTAATGTTGATTTTGTGAGTGTCTCTGTCCGTTGCTACCCATCAGAGAGAGGGCAGATATGACACCCCTCCTCAGGAGTTGGGAAGTGGAGTGTCTGAACCCTATTCATATGGAGTTAATGTATGGTGGGAATTCAGCCTCATGACATACAGAAATCAGAAACTATGGGAAAGCTCCAAAGCACAGAACCACACTGTTCAGCTATTGCTCGGCTGCATATCCTTCATAGAGTCATAGAATCCCAGACTGGTTTGGGTTGGGAAGGGCCTTAAACCTCATCCAGCTCCAATCCCTGCCATGGGCAGGGACACCTTCCACTGGAGCAGCTTGCTCCAAGCCCCTGTGTCCAACCTGGCCTTGAACACTGCCAGGGATGGGGCAGCCACAGCTTCTCTGGGCACCCTCACAGGGAAGCACTTCCCAGGTGCTAGCAATGGGAGATACTGTCAGACCACAGATCTGCTCCTGATGCTACCCCTGCTGCGAGCTGCAGGAAATACTGTCCCTTCGAAGAGTTAAGGCTGTGTAAAATTTGCCACTGCTGGGCACATTCCAGTGTCCTTCCCAATGGGCAGGCACTGGGAAATACAACACTGCCATTCAGTGAGTGAGGACAAGAATAAAAAAAGGTGGGAAAAATAAACTTCCATAGAAATACAGAAATAAGATATCTCTCTGTAAGTCCAAAGTGATATCTATTGAGACAGCGAGAATAAACACTTGACCTACCATAATTTCCTGTCCTTTTCTATGCATGTCAATGAAGAAAAATCCTAAACAATAAGCCCATCCAAAAGCAGTGGCTCTCAGCATCCTCAGGCTCTCCCCATCTCTCTTATCTCTCTTATCAAATTAATATTAGTAAGAGATCCTTTTATAAAAAGAGATGACATTGAGAAACAACAGCATGAGGGAGGCTCAGTGACTCCTCCTGCTGACCTGGGAGGTTAATGAAGATTAAATCAGTTTGCAGAAGTCAACTTCAGGTCAAACACTTCTGTGACACTTTTCTGAAGGACTCCGATCAGACAGTGCAAATCAAAAGGTCACAAAGGCTGGCATTTTCCAAACTAGGGGGTTTTTCTTGGTTAGTCACAGAGCAAATATCCTTCCTGCTAGCATGACAACTTTCTTCCACCAACTCCAAAAGGAATTACTAAACCAGAAGAAACTACTAGATTTCATCTAGTTTCTCTGATCTCATGAAGAGACCTTTACTTATGCACTGGGAAAACCCTGGGAAGCCTCCTGTCATGCAGACTTGTCCCAGCCAGTCCTGCTCTTCCTCTTTCCACCACCAGAAAGCCAAAATAAGGTATCTGAAATGATTACATCTCTACCAGTTGGAACTTAGGGGGAATGAAGAGAGACGGAGACACACGGAAAGCTTGTAACCAGAGAATGAGTTAGATAAAGATTTTACAAGGACTTTTCAAAAAGGGAGGCCACAAGAGGATCAAGGGAGCACCAGAGCCACGGAGGAAAAGGAGAAAGGGGAGAAACGGCTCATGCTCCTTAAGCTGTCAGTGGTGACACAACTGCTTACAGCCCCACCTGGCGGCACACCAGGTGTCGGCAGTGAACTAACTGCAGGGCTGGGATGCACATGCATCCACCACCTTTCATGCACGGCCTTCTCTAATGGACTGGGCGATGTCTCCAGATGAAGACTGAAAACGCCCTCTTCTGCTACCCAAGAACTGTTAGCTGGGGTTTTTTGAGCCTTCCCAGAAGCTCTGTAAGTGCAGATGCATAAGGGATCAGGAGAAGTACCTAGAACTAACTTCTGTTACTGCCAAAAGACAAAGGAGTGAAAAGAACGGGAAAAATGGGATAGTGCCTCAAAAGAGATAATAGATCATGAGTCCCTGCTGATTTTGTTTAAATCTCTAAAGAAAGACTCCACAGGCAGTGATGCAGTTATTTCATATTACAGCAAAGCAGCAAGCGCACAAGATGGTCACCCTAAGTTTGGAAAATGGAGAGCTACCTCCATGGACAGCATGCCATTACCAGATCATCTCCTTATGGCTCATTTTGAGACTATGACAAAAGTGATCCTGGCAGTGTTCAAGGCCAGGTTGGATGGGGCTTGGAGCAAGCTGCTCTAGTGGAAAGTGTCGCTGCCCATGGCAGGGGCTGGAACTGGAAGAGCTTTAAGGTCCCTTCCAACACAAACCAGTCTGGGATCCTGCGACATGCATTGAGGAGTCTTTTTACAGCCACTCCTCTGTGTTACAGGTAAATTTGCTGTCAAAGCAGGCCCTGGAGTGATATTTAAGTCCTTACAAGAGTTGTTAAAATCAACGCTAAACTCCAAGAAGGAACCCAGACCTTGTCATCAGCCAGGGCTTTACCTTGTGAAGCAATCTGCGGATGGGAGCATTTCATCTTAACAATATGTCTCAGGCTTGCTCAGTCTGCCCTATCTGATTTATCAGTTTGGTCTGTCCTGGACTAATTGCAATGAAAGTCAGGAATATAGTAGTTAGTTGAATCACATCATGAGAATGGTGTAATGTAAGAATTGTGCCCCACTGCGTTCACTGTTAGGCTGACACAAGATCTCTTACTTATCTACTTTATACAGTTGCAGAGAGAATGAATTTTAATAGGAAGTTGATGCTGCTTTTTCAGTGATGTTTTGCCAATAGCGAGAACAGTCCCCAGGACTGACAAGAGAATTAAGGGAAAAGAGGAACCACAGTGATAAATAACCTGTCTTAAAAAATTAACAGTCTACACATAGAAGGGTTCTGGAAACTGTGTTCTGCCTTTGTAATCCTCCTTTTAAACACAACCAGATAAAAAGGAAAAACAAAAAGGAAGGCAAGAGGCTTGTTCTTTGGGTAGTAACTGTAATCAAGTTGTGTCACCACTGCAGCTTTTACAATACTGGCATTATGCTTTGCAGGGAAAAGGAGACCCACGTACCTTTGGTTGCCAGCCGGACACAGTTGATTTTTGTTTCCTGAAAAATACAAAAACAACACAGGAAAACATCAAGATGTGTCATTTGCCCGTCTACAGCAAACATACACTCCTTAAAAAGGAACTAAAACAAACAAGCATTTTTCTTGCACTTCATCTCGGAAAATAGCACCAACAGTTCTATTTGCATGAAACACTCCATGCTAATGGACTTGCCCACAGCTGCTTTCTCTAACTTGAGAAGAATGACAACACATTCTTCCATACTTGATGCATGAGTGATGGATCCCATGTAACTGCCTGATTAACTAACAAAATTCACCAGTTAAATGACCTGATCTGTAATGGGCGGAGAAGCCTTGGGTCAAAAGCACATGTAATTGTACATCTGATTTCCATGCAAGTTTTGCAAATTGGGTATTTATTTAAACACACAGCAGGCAGACACTGGAGCAGCCATCTGAGGAGCTGAGCTCTCTGCTATATATGGGAAGCAGAAGAGCTGTTGTAGGGCAGCTCTGCCAAGCAAGCTGCTCCATCACAACCCACACCACTGCGGTGGTTCAGTGCAGAGCTGGGCTAAAACCCAACGCGTTTGTTCATTCCACCTCAGAGCCCACAGATCCACATAAACAGGAGCCTGGATCAGAACAGCAATGTTGTGCTTGGCTTAACCAACAGCTCAAAGGCAGCAGCCTTCTGAGGCCACCTCCACTGAAAAACCTGCTTTTTGCTATCCCCAGCTCCTCATTCTAAAGCCCTTGCTGGCATGGGTCACTTCTGTCCAGTCTATGATCGCTATCCAAATCTGAATGTGTTGCTTTGGTTAAAAGCTGTGTCAGGCAGTCATCTGCTGCAGGCTTCTGTAGCACTTTTATGTCTTTACACGCTTTTGTACATGTCTCAGGTGTAATGAGTACTGCATAAATTACTGTGTGGAACAATGCTACATTAATATGGATGCTGCCTGTGCTCTGGAAACAACAGCCTAACAAATGCACTGCTGAGCACCTCAGTCTGTCTGGGAGCAGAAAAATGAACACTGGGAAAAGCTGAATTTGCTCGTAGAGAGAATCTGTTCCATCTGTGACAGGCCTCAGCCAGAGCAGAAACACACAGCCCCACCGTGCCTTTCTCTTCATACGCTGCACATCAGAAGGGGACAATTGCAGTATCCACACTGGGACACACAAGAGCAATTCCCTCTGATGCCTCTCTATGCATGCCTGAAGACATCAGCCAGCCACACTACCTGGCTATAAGCAGCCCTGTGTATAGTCTAGAAACAATGAGCTATGCAGAAGGTCAAACTGTCCCTTTCATCTTGCCTTCAAACTCTCTCAAAGAATCCCTGGATCACCAAGGACAAATCACATCTATTAAGGCCATCCTTTCCCAGGCATCTGTCTCCCAGAGTGAGACTGAAGCACTGGTAATCCCAATAAACCAGAGGCATCTCTTTGGTGCACTCACCTTTCTCTCCCTTCAAAATCATCTCCCCTACACAACCTGTACATCCATCAGCACTGGAAAGACACCACAGCTGTACAACAGAGCTCCCCATTCATCTCTGCATGTGTGTAATCAGTCTGAATTGCCAGCTGATGCTGGAAATCCAAAATCTTTATTGCTAGTGATGATATGTGAAGCAGGAAAAACACAGCTTTATTTTCAGTGCAGAGTCTCAGCACACAATGCTGGGAAGTCTCAGACAGGCAGATCCTGATGGAGTTTACAATCTATGACAAGGTGACCTGGAAAATGTGTGATGAAAATTAAAATAAAGACCAGCAAGATGACATTTGTGCAGTCTAAAAGGAGGGGGACACTTGATCGCATTTTGATGAGGTCAATTTTCTTGCTTTCTGTTAGCTTCAAAGTGTAGCAAAAAGCTGGAGTAATCAGTCAATGCTGAGAGAGGAAGAGGTGAGAGAACAAAACCTGAAATGTTGTTAATGATGCTGTAACTGATCTCATTTGAGCATGTGCATATTCCTGCACATTACCCTCCCACAGGGCAATTTGAGAAGACAGGATGTGTTCTGTCTGCATCTACTAGTTGCTGCATTTAGCACAGACAATAACAGTTATTCCAAGACCATGATCGGGCACTGCCAAAAGCAAGGGCAATCAATCACTGGAGGAACAAGACATCTGGACTTCAGAACTTCAGATTGCATCTTCTGAGAAGGAAAACATAAAAGAAATGTGCACAGACACCAGGCGTCCAGCTATGAGGGATGCTGAAGCTGAAAGACTTGAACTTCGTCCATAATCCTGATTAGGGCTGATTATTCCATTGATTTCCATCGACCAGCCCATTGATCAACCCACTGCTCATCTCTTTGCTAAATTATAGAAATAAGATCTGTTTAAATTTACTATATTTTTCTTTGGTGCTGCAAACTGTGGGCTTGAACTTCTCTACCAAGAAACAGAATAAATACATACAACTTCTGATTCAGACCAGGGGCTTTCCTGCAGAGTGAGAATGCTTCTCCTCAGCCAATTGTAAAGCAGGAATAAACAACACACGTAATTCTTCATTATCAATCCTGGTGGCTTAAATCAATTATAAGAAAAGCGATGAAGGAAAGGGATAATAACAAAAGTTTTGGAAAACTAAAAATAAAATCCCCAAATTTCAGTTTCTGTGTTGTTTCTAAATGTTCTTTCAAATGCCTTGTATGTCTGTAACAATCTTAATGATGACCCAGGATCCTACATATACTTCATTTTATGGCTGAAGTCACACAAATAAATTAAGATCCCAGCAGTACTATTAATTCACCCCGGGGTCACTGCCAGGTTAAGGCAGACATTTATATCCAGTCACTGAACATTGCAGGCATTGGGAATGGGAAACCACTGCATGAACACATCCTACAGCTCTTGATCCAGCCTTCAGACAACTGTATCACAGAACCCCAGCCTGGTTTGTGTTGGAAGGGACCTCAAAGCTCATCCAGCTCCAACCCCTGCCATGGGCAGGGACCCCTTCCACTGGAGCAGCTTGCTCCAAGCCCCTGTGTCCAACCTGGCCTTGAACACTGCCAGGGATGGGGCAGCCACAGCTTCTCTGGGCACCCTGTGCCAGCGCCTCAGCACCCTCACAGGGAAGAGCTTCTGCCTAAGAGCTCAGCTCAGTCTCCCCTCTGGCTGGTTCAAGCCATTCCCCTTGGCCTGTCCCGTCCCTACAGGTCTTTGCGCAAAGCCCTTCTCCAGGTTTCTTGTAGCCCCTTTAGGCACTACAAGACCGTATCCAGAAAGTTTACTACATATTAAGCCCACCTACATGTTAAGTAGAACATATTAATGTATATTTGTGTTGTGGAACTTACTTCCCTATGAATCAAGCATAATCACTGTATATGCTCACTGAAGGCTAAACCCTGGCTATATTTGTAGGTCCATACACCATGGACACAGACCATAGCAGGATGGTGCTGGAGAGTACTAGCAGACTGTCCCCAGAAGACAGGCTGGACCTATAGTTAGAAGAGCTGCAGACTCTGAGGAGCACCCAGACTGTGCTGAGGAGCCTGGTGAGCCCTCGCTCCCAAGAGCTCCTTCACAAAGACTTGAACCTGTTCTAGCATCCCTCTGAATCTTCAGGAAGTTTATTAACATTTTGTAATAGTTAAAATAGTTTGTTTCATGCAGTTTGTGTCTTTCTTGAAGCAAGGGAGCTGATGCTGTCTACTAATTACTTAGGGTCCTAAAGGTGCATTTCACGGAAGGACTTGGATGATAACAAGACAAGTTCTGCCTCTGTCTCTTCAGTGTTTGGATGGGAACAATTTGCTGCAGAGAAGGGCTCCGAGGGCAGCAGGACATATGTTTATGTGACAGCTGAGTCTTCACAACCTAATAGGTCAGCTGATTTTTTTATTCTTTTCTTTTCAAATGACAGCTTGCTGTTTACAGCCTATGAACAACAATAAAAGCAGCCCAGCTTTTTCATCCATCTGCTTTCGCACCCATGATTTTCGCTTCCCTTTACTATTATTATGACTGTGCATTGTTAACCAGCTCCTGCCTTGTCTGAACACCAGTGAGAGCGCCTGTCCCCAGTGCAGGGCTGAGCTGCCACAGGCATGGCTCCATCAGACAGCTGTAATGAATGTCTGCTGGTGCACACACAAGTAATTAGCAACCTCCTACTTGGCCTCAGGGTCAGCTTCAGCTCTCCATGTCCCAGATCTATACATGGAGCATGCTTGCTGGGGGCCTGCTTCACACAGCATAGAAACCCTGGGGAACATCTCAAGGAATCACAGAATCCCTGACTGCTTCAGATTGAAGGGACCTTAAAGCTCACCCAGCTCCAACCCCTGCCACGGGCAGGGACACCTTCCACTGGAGCAGCTTGCTCCAAGCCCCTGTGTCCAGCCTGGCCTTGAACACTCCCAGGGATGGGGCAGCCACAGCTTCTCTGGGTCAGTGGACTTCCCTGTAACTTGTATCACAAGCTTAAGGAGACTTTTAGTTCTCTAAGGTAGCTCTCTAAGACTAAGATAAACCTAGTATTGCCATTCCAGTTATCTTTTAGTATCTGTGTCACTTGGGGAGGGGAGGTTTAACAAAGTGGTAGGGCTTTTACTATTTACAACGGTTATTTCAATGATATATAGCTAATCACTGAATACCCAGACCTCTCAACCTCTCAGATATGAGGTAGAATGTAGGAGGATTGTATTTACTCTCCAAAAAACATTCAGATCATAGAATCATAAAATCACAGAACAGTTTGAGTTAGGGACCCAACAGCCGGGAAGGCACTTTCACAGGTTCACACACTCTGTCCAGTATGGACAACCAGATGTGGAAATAGAAGCTTACACGGAGTGAAGCGCTTCCACAGCTGCTTTATTTCTGCCCCAGCATCAGATTAAGGAGGAGTAAACGTATGTGGACAAAACTGCACACCTGAAACCCTACAGAACTGAGCTCCCCAAAGCTGGTTAATAGCTCACAGCAGCAATGGGGCAGCCTTGGTGACACTTCATTTGTCAGAACACGGCTCGTGCTGAAGTACCTTACTGTTTCTTCCATGGGCCATCTCCAAATGGATGAATGCCACCTCTCTACTGGCAGCTCTAGCCATACCTCCAGAATGTCCCAGAAGAACAATGCTGTGTACTGTGAGCAGACCTGTCAGCATCTAGACATGCAGCCAGAAGTCCCCTGCTAATAATGAACTGCCTGATTGTGCATGTAGTACAAGTCATTAAAGAGGAAAAAAAAAATCAATAAGAATCTCTGTAGAGCCTATTACTGCCTCACAAATAATATTCTTATTGATTCCAGTGGTGCTACTTTTCACAATCCTGGCCTGAAAACATCACCCACCCGTCGGACCACCAGGCTCACATCATCTCCAGCTGCGCTAATAAGGTCCTGCCTCATCTCCCAGTTAGAGGAAAAATGGCCAAGAGTTATTGATTGCAATGGTGACATTGCAGATTTCATCTGAACTCACTGAGGACGAGTTAAACTCCCGGAAATCAGGAAGCTGCATAAAAATTCTGGCAGGTTTCACAGAGCAGCCAAAGAGATCTCCCCATCAGAGTGTGTTGCTGGATCACTAACCACAGACTGTCACTTGCAGCAACCCACCATAATAAACCTGAGGACAATAAAACCTGCAACATTTAAATTTTGATTTTTAAATCAGTATAAAGATGAGAGGATAAGGAGCAACAGGGTTGCCACACATGCCTTGCCTAATGGAACCACAGAATGTTTGGCGTTGAAAAAGACCTTAAAGCTCATCCAGCTTCAACCCCTGCCACGGGCAGGGACCCCTTCCACTAGAGCAGCTTGCTCCAAGCCCCTGTGTCCAACCTGGCCTTGAGCACTGCCACACAGCTTCTCTGGGCACCCTGTACTTGTGCCTCACACCCTTTGCAGGGGGATGCACACTGAAGGAGCTCATGTTTTGAAGGGGCTGAGCTGGGGGATGTTTATCAGAGAAGGAAAGCTTCCTGCACTGTCACGCGTCCATCTGTAGCAGGTGGCAGCAGCATAAATATCAGTTAACTACCTGCAACAGCATGTGTGGACATCCTGACAGAGGAAATGAAACCTGTTGTCCAGTCTTCATCCTGCGTCATTTCTACTGCTAGCTCCTTCTAACAATTATAAGGTAACTAATGCTGCTTCTCACCCCCACTCATACAAAGCCCGGAGCTTGTGTTTTCCTTCTCTCTTTTTTCCCCTCTTACTTCAGGCTCTGACACATTTCAGCTCAGCATCTGGCTTTCGACAGCCCCTCGGAAGGAAATTCACACAATTTGGAAGCGTTTTGTATAACAAAGCTCAAAACTCTTCTGCTTCACACATGTTCTATTTAGACCCCTGTCTGGAAGCAGCACCACACTGACCAAACTTCAGGCAACTGTGCACAGAGAAGAATTCAGCCAGTGACAGCGATCTCATTCAGGCTTCCAAACAACAAGCCCAACCCTGCACCAGAGAAGGCAGAAAAGCTTGTGATCTCATTTTGCAGCAATCTGCCACACTTGTTTTGCATCCAGCTGTTAATTATGTTCCTTTCACTGTAACAACCACAGCTAATGGCTGCAGAACAGACGAGAACACCAAATGAACACAAAGTACAGAAGAGCTAAAACAATACAGAACTCCTATAGCACTTCCAACCTCCTCCCAATCAAGATTTTTGACCACATACCGAATGTTCTTCAAATTAAGCTCTCCCCAGAGCCCTACATTTCCAAAGGAAGCTGTTCTGGTTCACTGCATGGGGATTTCACATTGCAGCTTTCAGATGCGGACAGGAGTTTTGTGATTCCACCCCTGTCAGTGATTAATGAAACTACAGAATATCCTAATTAAAAACTGAGTGGCAATGTTGTGTTGAGTTTTTCATGTGCAAGGGAACACGAGGCTGTATTGCATTTGTGCTAAATTGTTACTGCCTCAGAGTTTTTGGGTACTGCATTACCAGAAATGCCATGTTGCAGTCAGAACTATTAGCTGGCTCTAGGAAAAGCGGTCAGAGCTGCCCAGGTTATAGACACATGTCAAAATCCGTAACTCTTAAACACAAATTATACCCTTATATACAAATATAGATGAATGAAAGAAAACTTAACTATTTACAGCTAATGCTTGAAATGTGGGGCTTAAGGATTTTACCACAAAATCAGAAATGTCACATCTTCTCCTTTGAAGATCCAGATCCCACTTTTGGCTATTTCCTCTATAATTTTTCCCATAGCACTTCCAGGATGTATCAGCATATACTGCACCAACATAAATTATTGGTTGCTCAAACAGGAATTTGCTTTGTCTGGCAGGAGATTTCTCCTGCTGCTATGAACTGTGTATCATTGCATTACAGACTCCTTTAATTAACCTATGCTTAAAACATCCTTTACAGCCTAATGTTCCTACCAGAGCAGCACAAGCAAGTCATTCTTTTCTGAATCCTTAGCACCTTATATGTAGCGTTTGATGCAACCTGCCAGCTCCAGAGATCCAGCAAAAGCAGGAACCACACAACAGTGCTGCTTTAATCCAGAATGCCATGGGATCCAGCATTTCCACCTATATAACCCATTTATGGCATGTTGTACTTAAGCAAATAAAGTTTCTTCTTCCCTGGGGATCCATTCACTAGCAATTAACTATCACACAAGGGGGAACTAACTAGACTCAGACACACACATATAGTTCATAATTTCATTTAAAAGCCAAATCTAAAATTGAATTAATTGAGCAGTGCTGGAAGGAAACTATCAACTACACAGGAAACAAAGGTGAAAAGCAGCAGAGTATTAGAGAGATTTGTGCTTATTGGGCACACAGCAGGAACTCTGCAGGAGAATGGTGATAAATGAGGGTAGTAAACCACCGAGATACGTTGTCAGCATCCACTGGCATTGTCAGCCTCTTAAGACAGTGCACAGTCCTCTGTGATGCGCAGCGGTGCTCTGGATGTAAAAGACACTATCCCAAGTGGAGACCAGAGCCTCCACCATCCACCTTTGATTGATTCTTTCTAATTCTGCTCTTTCAGAGGTGATGTCTCAGAGAATTTACCTACATTAAAGTTAGATTCATGGAAGCACTGGCAGATGTGCTAATAATAGACTTGGCTGCCCAGCTTCCTGATGCCATGTTAATGCCCTGACACTCTTCATGAGGTCAGAGGGTCAAATTGTGCCGTGTTATGTGATAATGAAAAACAATCAGGGGAGTCAAAGGGGAGGAAGGTGAATGCTTAGTGTGGATCTGGTCTGCAGACTGTTAGCTGAGCTGGACACGAACAGGAGAGGTAAAAGAGAAAGTCACAGGCTGTCCTAGGCTGAACAGAAGCGTGAAAAGAGGCCTTCCCTCTTCCTATAATGGGATCTGTTGGGGCATTATATGGATGTTATCTGAGTCTGAGAACAGGGCAAACTGTTTTCTGTGCAGTCTCCATTTTAAACTTAATATCACAAAGTCTATGTCCAGGGTATTCAAAAGGAGTAAGACAGACATGCACACAGACGTAGGGTATGAATCCCTCAAGTGGACACTCCCAATCGTAAGTGCTACATTATGATGTAACCAAAAGCAAGCTACAAGGTAATCAAACTTCATGGCTTTTGAGTAGTTCTCATCTCATGTCTCCTCCAAATTCACAAGTACTGAGATATGGAGACTATTAAGGTATTGCAGTTGTGTCTTTTAAAAGCACAATAGCCCCTACCTCTGACATTCATACATATGCAAAGAAAACCAAATCCAAATGCCAAGCAATGCATTTCATAAATCACATGCCAACTTGTGCTTTTAGAGTCTGGCTCCCTGGTAGGCTTCTTGCTGGATTTAGACATCAGAGACAGACTTGAGTGAAGGACACATAATGGCATGTTTAATGTACATGAAAGAGAATAAGGAGTTAAACTAGCACCCAGTGGAGAAGGAAGGAGAAAGACAAGGATAACCAGAGGTGCTCTTATGTACAGGTCCAGTTTCAATATTCCACTTACTCCATTTGCCTTGCTCAGAGCCTGGAAGTATATGCTGTAGCTTTTCAGGGGAGAAAGTGGAGCATTCCAGTAGCCATTGTAGGTTTTGTTGTCACCCACTGTGAAGGGCTGAGTGACGGGCAGGTTGATGGGTTTCAGCTCTGCTGCAAAGTAGTGTGGTGAGTCCAGACTGGAAGCGTTCTTGTAGCTCACTGGGACAGAGAAGCACTCTATGATGTCTGCAGCTCTCCGTGCTTTCTGCAGCTTCTCCTCCTTGACCACTAGTTGATAGACACTAGGAGGGAGAGAGGAAGGGAAGATTAGAGACCCAAGAGCCTACAGTATCAAGAATGTTTCCAACAATAAAAGACAAACAGTAAATCAAAGTAAGAAATACACAGGTAGAACACTACACACACAGCTCTTGCGCACCAGTACAGTGGCAGTGGCCACTATGTGGGCAAGATGCTGATCACTTGTTCTGTTGACTTACTTGAATTTATCAAGATACACTTTGGTGAAAACCAGAATAATTTCAGTAAGGAGTGACTAATAAAACATCAAACTTGTAATGGATATTCCATGTGCTGAAAACAGATGCTTTCTTCTTCAGCCACCAAGCTGAAACATAAACTGCTTGGGCCAGTGATTGTGGTAGAGCAGAGCACCAGAAAGCGGCAATGGGGTCAGCTCCCTTTTGAAATGGCTTCAAGGTGCAAGGACCAGTTTAGATCAAAAAGATACTCATATCTTTTAAGAATGTTAACTTTTCTTGGCCCTCCCTCATGTCTTTTTGGGATATATCCTGCAATGCAGAGCTCTCTAACGTTAATTCCTGATGGCAAGTCTCCCCTTCTGCTCCATCACTAAAAGGTTAGCTTATGTAATGAGAAGGGGGCTGAACAGCTCTCCCAATTCACTTTTGTTTCAGGAAACAATTCTTCATATTCTTTCCAACTCTATAAAACGTTAAAAGACTTTTCAATTCCTGCTAAGCTTCTGGCCTCTATGGTATGCAACAGCAATCTTGTTAGTTCTAGCTGGCTATTTCAGGCTCAGAGAGGTTGCAAGGCATTCAAATCAGACTCCCAGACTGGTTTGTGTTGGAAGGAACCTTAAAGCTCATCCAGTTCCAATCCCCTGCCACCAGCAGGGACACCTTCTATTTTATCCAATCCCAAACCCTCTTATTTCTGGTTATAGAAAATGTTTCCTTTATGTATAGACATAAATATACATGGTTAAATATCAGTTAATCTCCTTTCAGCCTACGCAGAGGTGAAGGGTTTCCTCACCCTCTCTCCCAAGCAGCGTTCAAAGGCTGCCACTCCTTCTCTTGGTTATCCCACTTACAATGACCCTATGGACTTGTTTGTCTTTGGAGAAGGGGAAGCTCCCAGGAATGTGGATCACCAAATAACTGCACTCTTTCCCTAACCATTAGGGACAATCATTTGATGACATTCTCAGTTTCTCCTGTGACAATATTAATATACTCTCCACCAGCATGGGCACTCTTTTTATCACGAGCAAGAGTTCTGAAACACACAGACCCTGATAACAGACACTCTTTTGCCTGTATTCTTTCTCATTGTCACTTTCCTACTTATCCATTGACACATTTCTTCCTTTCACAGGGATAACACACTCTTCAGCAACCTGAAATTTCACTTTTGATATTTATTCTTTTGGTATAACTTGAGGTGTTTCTGGAAGCACAACTATATGTTTATGAGCATTCACCTGAAATATAATAGATGTCCCAGTTGTGTTCAAAGTTAAAACCCCATTAATCTCCTGCCCAAGCACTGTCTCCTTTCCTATGAAATAAGTATCTGAGCTGAAGCTGCTGTCACTGTTCTCTCTGGTGGAACTCAGGATGAGTGACTGACTGCTCTCTTGGCACCTTTATCCTTTATCCCCACTCACACCACCTGACACAGCATGTTCATCTCTGGGTTCTTCACCTGCCTGACCTCGTGACCGTCATCCTTCAGCCTCACTCTTCTCTCTGTTATTTGGTAGTGGTCAAGAAGCCACTCTCAGCAAGCGGGCAATGGAAATACGGAGATCTCCCAAGTGTTTGAGTGGCCAAGACCACGTCTGTTTTCCATCTCTGGATGGATGATTAGTACCCTGAGAAATTGTTTCTGCATAAAGTAATTACTTTAGGTCTCACTTTCTGATACTTTAATCCCAGTACTCTAATCTTCCAGGACCCTCCTGAGGTCCAGATTCACCCCCAGCCAGTGCACAGACTGATGCAGTCTCATCTTTTTTCCCTTCCCCTGATGTAGGTCTGTTTTTCAGGCTGTGCTCTCTTCCTCATGTCCTGTTTTCACCTATGAGTCAGAATATGGGCATTTTTAGAGATCAACTTCCCTGCATTAACCAGCGACAGGCTGCAAGGCACATCAAGTGCTTCCGTACCTGCTACCATCAGCATTCAGATGCTCCCATAACTCTTTGCCTTTTCATTGGAACAAAAACCAATGATCCTACATCCAAATGAAATTCCTGTGAGAATTAAATTCTTTAAAGCTTTAAACTAGATGTGTTGGGGGAGGGGGCATCATTCCATCCCAACACACTCAGTCAGTTGCCAGCACCTATAATAAATGCTCGGAGCAATGCAGAGATATTCTGGCTGCTCCAGCCAATGAGCCGGCTTCATCTGGAGCTTGGCTCAGATGTCCCTGTACAAACACCTGTAGCATGGGGAACAAACAAGAGGAATTAGAGATGTGTGCACGTCTGCGGGGGTACGATATAACGGGCATTGCAGAATCATGGTGGGATGGCTCCTATGACTGGAGTGTTGGAATGGAAGGTTACAGACTCTTTAGAAAAGACAGGCCTGGCAGGCGGGGAGGGGGGGTTGCCCTTTATGTTAGGGATAGGCTGGAGAGTATGGAACTCTGTCTGGGGACAGGTGAGCAGATAACAGAGAGCTTGTGGGTCAGGGTTAAAGGAAGAACAGCAATGGGAGACGTTACTGTGGGGATCTGTTACAGACTGCCTGATCAAGAGGAATCTGTGGATGAAGCACTCTCTAGACAGACAGGAACAGCCTCACGCTCTCAGGCCCTTGTCATCACGGGGGACTTCAACCATCCTGATATCTGTTGAAGGGATGGTACGGCCCGGCACAAGCAATCCAGGAGGTTCCTTGATTGTGTGGAAGACAACTTCCTTCTGCAAGTAATAGAGGAACCGAGAAGGAGAGGTGCCATGCTTGACCTTGTGCTCACCAACAGGGAAGGGCTCATTGGAAATGTGACACTTCAGGGCAGCCTTGGATGCAGCGACCACGAGATGGTTGAATATGAGATCCTTAGGGCAGTGAGAAGAGCATGCAGCAAGCTCACTGCGCTGGACTTCGAAAGAGCAGACTTTGGCCTCTTCCGGAACCTGCCTAGTAAGGTTCCATGGGATATAGCCCTAGAGGGCAAGAGGGCCCAAGACTCTTGGTTGATATTCAAAGATGACCTGCTACAAGCTCAGGAGTGTTGCACCCCAGCTAGAAGGAAGTGCAGCCGGAGGGCCAGGAGACCTCCTTGGATGGATAAGAAGGTGCTGAGGGAAATTTGAGGGAAAAAAAAAAGAGGCTTATAAGAAGTGGAAGCAAGGACAGGCGGCCTGGGAAGAATACAGGGATGTTGTCTGGGAAGATAGGGAGTGGGTTAGGAAAGCTAAGGCCCAGTTAGAATTAAACCTGGCTAGGGATGTTAAGGATAACAGGAAGGGATTCCATAGGTACATTGGAAATAAAATAACAGACTAGGGACAATGTAGGCCCCCTCTGTAAGCTACTGGGAGAACTGGCTGCCCTGGATTTGGAGAAGGCTGAGGTTCTGAATGACATCTTTGCCTCAGTCTTCACTGGCGAAGGCTCTGACCTACACCTGGGTCAGAGCAATCCCAGGCATGGCTACAGGTTGTGCAAAGAGAGATTCAGAGCAGCCCTGCGGAGAATACTTGGGGGTGCTGGTCGATGAGAAAATGAACATGAGCCGGCTTCAGTCTGTGCTTGAAGCCCAGAAAGCAACCGTATCCTGGGCTGCATCAAAAGGAGCATGACCAGCAGGTCGAAGGAGGTGATCCTGCCCCTCTGCTCTGCTCTCGTGAGACCTCACCTGGAGTATTGTGTGCAGTTCTGGTGTCCTCAACATAAAAAGAACATGGAACTGTTGGAACAAGTCCAGACAAGGCCACGAGGATGATCAGGGGACTGGAACAACTCCCATATGAAGATCGGCTGAGAAAGTTGGGGCTGTTCAGCATGGAGAACAGAAGGCTGCATAGAGATCTCATAGCAGCCTTCCAGTGTCTGAAGGGTGGCTATAGGGATGCTGGGGATGGACTCTTCATTAGGGACTGTAGTGACAGGACAATGGGTAATGGGTTAAAACTTACACAGCGGAAGTTTAGATTGGATATAAGGAAGGTGAGGGTAAGGGTGGTGAGGCACTGGAATGGGTTGCCCAGGGAGGCTGTGAATGCTCCATCCCTGGGGGTGTTCAAGGCCAGGTTGGACAACCTTGGGTGACACGGTTTAGTGGGAGGTGTCCCTGCCCCTGGAAGGGGGGGTGGAACTGGATTATCTTAAGGTCCTTTCCAACCCTAACTATTCTATGATTCTACGATTCTATGATTCTAATTCCAAATAGCAAGCATCCAGTTACACACTCTGAACTCCAGACAAACCATCTGCATCACTACCACAATTCTCAAAAGAGTAAGGGTCAACTTTGCTCAGAAGATTGTAACTTTCTGTGATACATGTGATCCCTATTTGTGGTGGGGCACTAACAAACTAAACTGAATAGGATCTACCCTTTTGTCCTTCAGAAGCACTCCAGCTGCCATTAATTCTGTGCATCTAGCATCGTTTGCTACTTGTTAGGATTGACACAGTGTTATGACAACCAAAGGGAAAGAGGAGTGGCTTTCCAAAAGGAACTGCTAGAGGGAAGGAAAAAAAATGTGGGCAACAGAAATAAGGAGGAAATATCCAAACTGTTTTAATAGCTCCTATTCTGGCTACCAGAAAGTCACTAACATGGATCTCCTGGAGCTCTCCCTGTCTCAAGCTTCAAAGCTACTGCTTCCAGCCACTACCAGCTAACACTGCTTTCATAGCAGAAATCAATAAATCAGTCCCAAATGCCCAGCTGGATACACGAAAGTATCGGTGTCGTACATTGAAATGATATTAAAAGAGACAACAGAAGCAGAGCATTAAAACTCCCAACACTGTACAACAACTTCGGTACCAATAAACTAAAAGATGAC